GCCAAATTGGTGATGCAGCAGTTAATGCCAACTATGTACGTGTGTGTATAAATATTAATAAATATACGCACATTTAACTTCGTGAAAATAAATGTACAATACCATTATAGGACCCAAAACTGCTAATTGGTCATATAGTTTCCTAGCTTCTCTAATATTACAGGCTTGAATAGTTACTTGCAGACTACAGCAGCCAGCTCCAAAAGCAATAGAATCCATATATATGTGACCTGGTAATGCACTTTCACGATCAGGAAATAAATTTTGATTCTTTTTATCTTGAAAAATCGGTATATTAATAACGACATTTGATCCTAGACGACTGCTAAACCCATTATTTAATGATCTTTTTTATTTAAAATAAATTATATGTCATTACATAAAAAATACATGAACAAATAAAGTATATTATGAATTACATACTGATATCTAATGTGGGGATTAATAACTTCATCTGGCACAAATGAGCTTTTTAATTTAGGCCCAAACGGTTCATGATGAGGCTCTAAAAATTGACCTGGACAGCCGAGACGCGGAAAGTTGGTTAAAGTAATTATGCTTTCATTTTTGCTTAAACATTTGAATGCAGTTGCCCTTCTAAGTTTCATATTTTGTTCAACTCGAAGTAGGCTTTTTAAATTGCTCCCATAAGGAATACCAGGCATTCCTAATTAAAAACTTTATAAATATTAAAATAACAATTTAAACCAATTAAAGCCAAATAAGACTGATACCTTCGATCATATACGCTGCAAACTCGGGTTGCCATGATACTTCGACTAATTCACTATAAAACATAATTAGTTAATAAGATCGTATGATTTGATCCTCTAGATATCGTTATAAGCATACCCTTTTCTAAATGTTTCCTCTACTTCTTTTTGCAACTTGTGCAAAATGTCAGAAGTTCTTAATGAGAGCTTTGCGTTCTTGTTTTCATCATCATATGCAATTACCATATATTCGATCTATGTAAAGAAAATCAGCATTAAACTACGAATCGATGTATTCAATTTAAATAAATTACCTCGTCACCCCATAATAAATTATCATTTTCCCTATCCTTTGTTTTATTATAAATTGATAAGAATTGGGATATTCCACGGTTACGAATATGGTCAGCATATTTTTTCACTTGTTCCCAAGGAA